GCGTTATTTGCAAGGAGCGAAAGGCCTCATGATGACATATAGAAGATCCGATTCACTCCATATAGTGGGATATTCAGATTACGATTATGCGGGGAGATAATAGAAAATCCACGCCCGGATATGTGTTCACTCGTAATGGGGAGCTATTTCATGGAAAAGCTCAAAGCAAACCGTCACTACATCGTCCCACAATGTATGCCGAGTTTGTAGCGTGTTATGAGGCAACGGGCGGTGAACTAGCTAAAGAAGTTCATACCCGGTTTGAAGGTGATTGGCGACATCAATAGACCACTTGAAGTTATCTGCGATAATAATCCAAAGAAGATGCAGTATGCTCACAACAATAGGTCAAGTGGTCTTTGCCAAACACATTGACATAAAGTATTATGTTGTGAAGGATAAAGTCCGGGATCAAATGATAAGTCTTGAGCATATAAGCATCGAAAAGATGCTCATGGATCCGCTTACAAAAGGCTTACCACCCAGCGTGTTCGAGAGAACATGTAGCCGACATGGGTTTAAGGGAAAGCCTATGATTCTCGGACTATAAAGGGCCCAAAAGTTAAAGTAACTATTTCGGATCGTAGAGGCGTGCATTGTAGCTATTAAATCTATCGGCGATTGACCGTGACGATGAGACATGCTCTATGCATCATCTCGTGAAGAAATGAGTAAGGATAAAATGATTGAAGTTTAAAGTTTAAAGATAAAAGTAATGGTGAGATCAAGGGGAGAATGTTAGATTGATCTCTAACCAATAAGCCCAACGACTTATTGGGCCTTGGTCAGCATACGATCGGGGCGCCCCAACCCTACATGGTTGGTGGCCCTCGTCGCCTTGCGCGCTATATAAAGAGGGGGGGGCCGGCGGCTCAAAGCACGAGGTTCGCCGTGAGCCGCAAACCCACCGACAAACCCTAGACCGATCTAAGAGGCGCGCGACCGGTGACGGAAGCTCGCGATCCTCGCCGTAAATCATCGCTACGCCCGACCGCGACTTTGATCGACGTCCGCAAGAACCTCTACTCCACCCGTCGCTGCCCGTGTGCTGCCTCCATCACCGAACCAGCGATGGCCAGCACAACTGCGACTTCATCTGAAGGCTCAGGTTCATCACCAGCCCCTCTCTACCCTATCTCCCTCTCGGTGTAGTATTCTAGGTCTAAATGTGCATATGCTTCACTGGTCTAAGTATTCATCCGTCTAGATCTACCCTAGTCGATTCACAGTTTATAACAAGCTCAGCTTCACCTCCAATCCAGAGTAGGAGTGGAGTAGGAGTACCGACCCCCACCTTAATTAGCTGCAGTAGTGCTTTTGCAAAGAGCAGCAGCTGCCTCACTGTTACTTGGAGTTCATGATTGGATCCATGTTCCTTGTACTGTATCACATCACTCTGTGTGTACACTCTGGCACTCACAGGTCCCTAATGTCTGGAACTGGAAGAAATAAAGCAGTACGTACAGCGTCTGAATTCCGGTGATATCAATCAAAATTTCAGTAGTTGCTGTGTTCCGTTCCACACAGACGCACGCAACGCAGCTCCAGGCCCGGGGGACGCGGAGATCGCTAGGACGAGAGCCAAGAGTCTGCAGCCGTCGCTGTTGCAAGCCAGCACCAGGGTGGTTCCCCTGTTTGGCGGTAAGCAACGAGGAAGATGAGGAGGAGGAGGAGGAGGAGGAGGAGGTGATGACGTGATGTGATTAATTAGTGTGCGATAGAGAGCAGAGCATGCAATGCAAGAGCGACTGGCGACCTAATTAACCGTCCGTCCTTATGTTGCTAGCACCGCATCGCATCATGGCCCCTAGCTAGATAATGGATTGCTTGCTTGCTTGCATTGGTAAGCAGAGCACTGGTGAGCAGTGCTGTCAGTAAACTAAACCTCGGAAAAAACTATTCACTTTGGCCGGCCATGCGTCCTGGTGCGTGAATGGCGGGCAAGGCAGTGACAGTGGGTGAGATGGACTACTAAAACTGATCTGATAGAACCAAGACTGGGGAGTAGAGAAGCTTCACCTGCTCCCCGTCCTGAGCTGTGACTTTCGCTTCGCTAACAGTGCTTCTTCCACGGTGACCTAACATGTTGTTAGGCTACCAATAACGACCCGTCAGATGACGATGGATCGAATCAGCGCACGAGGCGTGTGAGAGTGCTCAGTATGGGCCGGAGCAGCTGAACGTACAGCGAGATTATTCTCAGAACACTACTAGCTGTGCACCTGTACTTGGCGGATCTGAACATGAATGAGCAATTAGTGGATGGACTGATGGAGCAGCTAATTAAGGTACTGGTACTGTGTTGTGCTGTGCTGCATTGATCACTCGGGATGGAGTATAATTTGCATATGGAGATTATTAAATGTTTCGACAGCTATAGCCCACCAGTTGTTTCTGACCGATTTCAGTTCCGTTCCTTGCTACCAGATAGTAGTAGTACTCATCACTAGCAGTCTGCCTGTAGAAAGCACATATGATTTGTCAATCACTAGCAGCCCCCCACCGTGCGAGAGAATTCCTGAAACGAACGAAGGGAGCTCAAATGCATCAGATACACACTGGTAGTGACGACAGAGTTCGCTCGCCAAATTAGACCGTGCGCGGAGATGGAAGAATTCGAATGCAGATGGCGATGGAAGGAATTCCACACGCGCGCTGGCCGGTTTTCATGTCATCCGTTGAATATAATGGACCCAGACCAGACGGCACGCGCCGGTGAGCGATCGAGACGACGACGACGACTCTCGTAGCACAGGACAGCCTGGTGCACAGGATCGGAGGATGGATGATGGAATGGGAACACAGTGGTCACCCTGACCCTCACGGCGAATGAAACTGACGAGTCGTCGTTCGTGTCTAGCGGGATCGGACGTTGTAGCCCTTGGCCCTTGCTCACCGCCACGCGCGCCTTGTCTAGTTGGGCAACCAACCAGTGACGCTGACGCCAGCAGCGTGCAAAGAATAAAGACCTAGAGAAAAAAAATAATATAAAAAAGTTATGAACCAAATATACAAATTAACTTGATGTGAGCCAAGTAAGTTGGGCAAAAAAAAAAGAAGCCTAAATTGCTACCAAAATAAAAATAACATCAGACATATGTCCCTCTAGATTTACATGAGCACAAAAAATTAGTGAAAGAAATACATAGGTAAAATTTGAAAAGATTTTTGGGATGGCACAAACTCACCTCTCAAACTCAACTCCTTCAAAGGTTCAGAGGGCAAAACCCTCCTCGTTTTTTTTTGCAATTTCTCACCTCCAATGGAACTCAACAATGGCATGAACAGCTATAGTCGTGTGACTAGCTATAGTCACGAGGACGAAGAAGGGTATTTGTAGGGAGTTATTTTTAGGGGCGGTTGACTAAGAGCACCGCCCCTGTTAACATATTCCAGACGCGACTCTCTTAAGCGAACCCCATCCCTGAAACCCTCTCTCTTCTAGAGACGGTTCGGTAATGATGTACATCCCAAGATCCTATTTTTAGGTGCGGTTGTCTTAAGGAAACCACTCCTATAAATTGATACCTTTCTAGAGGCGGTTTTTTTAGCGGAACCGAAAACTTATTTCCAGCAACAATTCTTTAGTCACAGTGCCTCCTTCCAAGGTTACAGACGGTTTCCTAAGCTGACAGCTTCTATTAGAAATGGGGCAAAAAAAAAAATCTATGTACTGGTGCGTGTAGTGATAGACTACTCACACTCATCACTCAATGCATGATATGCGCACACAAAGCATGACGTGCTCGAGTTCCAATCCACTGTATGTGCCGCCCAGGTTTCAAACCGACAACAACCATACATGACAACCATACATGATGAAATACATACATACGTGAGTATACAAACACATGGCAACCGAATAAACGATTGTGTTATATAATACAAAAGAAAGCAAAAAAGACTAAAAACACTAAATATTATAGAGAAAAATGAGACAAAAATAATAATTAGCCTTAGACCTCTAACCTTCACATGATCGATATAATTCGTAGGCCAGGAAAAATAATCACTATATAATAATAAAAACCAAGGAGAAAGAGAAGATAGCAGAAAGACTAATCGTAATAATACAAATTCATTATTAAATATCGATTTAGAGGGAGCAGATAAGCGAAACCCACGCACATTGGTTCTAGACCTTCCGGACGCGTCCAAACTAAATGAGGTCTAGGACGGAAGTGGTTCCCCACTAGCCAGTGACTCAACTCTAGTTGAGTCAACTGCATGAAGAGAAGCCTAATCGGTTTATGACATTTTTTTTGGGTTCATTCAAAACTTTCCAGAGACCAAACGTATCCTGTGGGCGTGTTTGGATCGTGCCCTGGCACGTAGCTCGCCGCACCGGTTAGGGATCGATCCCAGCATGCACCAGGTGACCGAAGGAAACGAAATTGGACGCACCAGGTGACCGTATGTATCATGTATTGCATGCATGGTAGTATACGAGTTCTTCACTAGCTAGTGCCTGCTGCCGCCACATACGGCCATACGACGTCTGCAACAACAAAAATACGGCACGCATGCATAGCTGCAACATGGAGTATATCTACGACCTATCAGCACGTTCGTTCGGTCGTATTTGGCTTATAAACCATGACTTATTAGCCAACAAATAATATTTTTCTCTCACGTCAAACCAGCCAACAGTACTTTCAGCCATGGCTTATAAGCCAAACCAGCGCAAACGTGTATATCTGTATTTCTTCCCTTGTATTTAAGGGGATCCGCGCGGCGCTGTGCGGCCACATCGATCGGCACATCTCTAGCTAGCTCTACCACGCTACGCTAGCTAGCTTCACTAATCACTAATCACTAATCACAGCTACTTCTGGCAGCTAGATCAGCGGGCTGCGGAGTGCGGTGCAGCACACCAAAACGGGCCTACCCATCCATCCTCCTCTGCCACCACAGCGCGCGTGCACAGACCGGCCGGCTGCACCGCTCGCTCGCTCGTTATTAAGCGGCGGCGCGGCGAGCGCTCGTGCGTCCGTCCGTCCATGGCGAAGCAGCAGCAGCAGGTCTCCGCCGGCGTGGAGGCCACGGGCCGGCAGGCGGCGTCGTTCCTGCTCGGCTGCGTGGCCGCGCTCACCGTCGTGCTGCTCCTGGAGCGCCGCCCCGAGGAGCTCACCAGGGCGCCGATGGTGCAATTCTTCGGAGGGACAGCGACACGGACATCATCATCATCGTCACCAGCGGCAGCGTCGTCGTCGTCGTCCTCCTCCTCCTCCTCTTCCTCTTCACCACCAGCGGCAGGTGAACATGCAGCCCATCGTCAGACGACGACTAACGCCGCCACGAAGCCGCCGCCTCCTGCTGCTACCACTACCGCCGCCGCCGGTGATCCACGCCTTCCGCCGCCCAATTCCACCACCAATCACGGAAAAGAGGTTGGTCATACATGTATTATACTAGCTACTAATGAATTTAGAATCTTCTGCTGCATGCATGCGGTTCATCATCAGGTTCTGCATGCTGACTGACATGCTGTTCGTCCAATTCTGCCACGCAATTTTTCTCTTCTGTTCGATTTGATCATCGATGGATTTGCCGTGCGGTCATCTACCGTTGGCAGCGGCCGAATAGGCACAGCGTCCGGGCCTCGGGAACAGCGCACGACGACGACGTGGCAGACTGGCAGCTACCTGAATGCCTGATCGACCCGATCAATTGCATCTTACTCCAGCGTTGCAACTTTAGGCGCCTTTTTCTTGCTGCTTGCTGCGATCTGAATCAAGTCTACTGCTACTCCAAATCACTATTTTTTTAAAGAAAAAACAAATCCACAACAAAGCACGTTTCACTCTCTTTTTTATTTCTTTTTTTGTAGAAAAACGAATCAACACAATTCACTACTCATGAGCTAAGAACTGAATAATAACGTCAGCAGGGCGCGGCCAGCGGCGAGGCGGAGGAAGAGGAAGAGGAAGAGGAGTTCCGCGGGCTTGCTGCGGCGGTGTCGCGGGCGGCGACGGCGGACGACCGGACGGTGATCGTGACGTGCGTGAACCAGGCGTGGGCGGCGCCCGGGTCGCTGCTGGACCTGTTCCTGGAGAGCTTCCGCGTGGGCGACGGCACGGCGCCCCTGCTGCGCCACGTGCTCATCGTGGCCATGGACCCGGCCGCCATGGCGCGGTGCCGCGTCCTCCACCGTCACTGCTACCACTACGCGCCGTTGCCCGGCGTCGACTTCGCCTCCGCCAAGTTCTTCCTCTCCAAGGACTACCTGGAGCTGGTGTGGAGCAAGCTCAGGCTCCAGCGCCGCGTGCTCCAGCTCGGCTACGCCTTCCTCTTCACGGACGTGGACGTGCTGTGGTTCCGGAACCCGCTGAAGCACGTGACGGCGTACGCGGACATGAGCGTCTCCAGCGACGTCTTCTTCGGCGACGCCGACAACGTCGACAACTTCCCCAACACGGGCCTCTTCCACGTCAAGCCCAACAACCGGACGATCGCCATGACGGCGGCGTGGCACGAGGCGAGGCAGAGGTTCCCGGGGAAGAACGAGCAGCCGGTGTTCAACGCCATCAAGAAGGGGCTCGTCGCCGACCTCGGCCTGCGCCTGCAGTACATCGACCCGGCCTTCGTCGCCGGCTTCTGCAGCTACGGTAAGGATCTCGGCAAGGTGTGCACCATGCACGCCAACTGCTGCGTCGGCCTGCGTAACAAGCTCGCGGACCTCAGGACCGTGCTCGACGACTGGAAGAACTACACCGCCATGCCGCACTGGGCCAGGCACCAGGCCAAGTGGACCGTCCCGGGAGCATGCATCCATTGACGACGACGACGATGATCCATGTTCGTGCTCGTGCATCGCAGGACAGGCCGATCGATTCGTCCTCAGTATCTCAGTACTCATGAGTTACGCTTACACGACGGGATTTGCTTACTTTGTTGGTGCCGTGGATTGAATCTTTTTTTTTCTGTTATCTCGAATTTTTAGGTTACAAATATATATACCAACGACAGAAGAGTAATACTATATATATGTAGTGTCCTTTATTGTATACTGCTGGTACCAGGCTACTAGTCTTACTTTCGTCAACTCCTCCCTGTCTTGTACCACACACATCCAGACAAGATGACAAATTTAGGCTGTTCTCATCAGCTTGCTTGGCCCATGGTATATGCTTGGTTATATTTCGAGTATACTGCATCCTGTTCCGGTTAACTAGCCACCAACTCGTACTTGTACACATGTTATACCTATACATTTATTATATCTTTTATCTACCATACCACTCTTTAAATTTACTAGCAAATGCATCCGTGAGCTGCAACAAGACTCTTTGCCTTGAAATCAGATTCCGTGCCATCGTAGGACAAGAGTCGTTCTAATAACGAGTCTACGTGACATAAGAGATACGGAGGGTACAAGGATATTTTTGGAATTAGTAAAATAAGGCGTGCAAGAATCCATTCGCTCTTCAATATTAGATATATATAGTACATATTATATTTTAGGTGCATTCTTAGTTAAAGTGCCTATAATTTAAATAATTTTAAATTTGACCAAATTTATAAGAAAGAACATTTATTTTTATGACAACGAATAAGTAGAATATGAAAATATATTTTATGATAAATCTAATAATACTTATTTGGTGTCATAAACACTAATACTTTTTTTCGTATAAATTTGGTTAAACTTGAAATGGGTTGACTTAGGACAAACCTAAAACATCACTTATTTTAGGACGGAGGGAGTACTAACAAATACTATGTCCATGGGTTGCAAAATGATAAATAGTTTGAATTATATGTTTCAATACGTATTACAATTGGACTTAGGTCCTGTTTGGATCTCATGGTCTAAAGTTTAGCTACTAAATTTTAGCTCTTGAAGCTCAAAAATGTGCTCTAAAGTTTAACCAAACTAACAAAAAGATATTAGTTCACTAGAACAGACAAATGTGCTAAAATGGTCAAAATTTTAGTACCCAACTAAACTTTAGATCATGAGATCAAAACATGGTCTTATTTTTACTATTAATGGACGCGCGTTATTCTAACTCATATGAACACAAGTTGTTTTCGGGTCCAGACAGGACAATAAACTAATTAGGAATGTTATCTCTAATTCATCACGTACTACTGCCTTTAGTAAAACCGGTTATGACTCTTATACTCGATGGAGTGGAGGAACAGACAAGCCAAAAAACTTTTCTTCTTTTAATATTAGACTAGAAAACATACCCATACGTTGTAACGAGACATACAATTTATTATGTAGTGCTCGTGCCATGATAACGAGTTAGAATTTTTATTAGATTTATTGGGTTTGGCTCAATCTTAAATTAAATAAATTTTAAGATCCATAATAAATGCTAGTACGATACATGGTTAATTAATCCTGTTATGAAAAATTGATAAAATAGTGACTCAACTTAAACATGTAGTTATTGTGTGCAATTGTTGTGGGTTTAAGAATAAAGTGAAAGATGAGCTATATACCTGCACACGCACCACACCATGAGTGGGCTCCGGCAACTGGTCCAAGACATGAGTGGCGTGTGACAGTAACGGAAGGTTTTGCGGCTTGAAACTCAAAGCAAGAAAGGTAGGAGTGACAGATAATAAACCGAGGAAGAGAGTGTGAGAGGCGAAAGAGAGAAATTTTCGTTCTTTAATATTAGACATAGATTAAGATTATTTATTTTACACTTTTATTTTCTACAATGAGCATTGCTAACGTCACTCAGCTTCAGATTTCAGAAATAATCCTTAGGTACAAGTTCACGAATAATCATAAAGCTATGATACATATGAGATTGACGAGTAAACATATTTGTGCGTTGTTCCGGAACATATAGCTTGTGCTATCTGTTCTAATACGTGTTGAAATCAATCTTTATGTCATAGATGAATGCGCACTATTCTAACCAAATGAACACGTATCGTGAGTTTGCCTCTTGCTCCTCACAAAAGAGAACGAACACGATTATATTCCTCCAGCATCACATATACATACATGGTTTTGTGGTCCTAGCCACAAGGGAAAACTACGGGCGGCACCGTTGATTGTGATTGTTCTGTGCTTAAACTCTGCTTTCCCAATAACTAGAAAAAACGGGCGGCGTTGCCGCTCGGCCGTGTGCGCTTGGCCGCACTGTGAAGCCAATTGCGTAGAAGATAGAAATATTAAATGTTTTCTTACTGCGAAAGACACAATAAAAAAGTTAGAAATATTATAAGAATAATTATTTAGATTAGCTACAGAAGCTGAATTGCATAGTACATGATCAACAGGGTGTTCAGTGTTCACACTGAGAATTTATATCAACCTACATTAGTAGAGGTTCAAGTGATAGAAGTTCAGGAATAGAAGTAGCTTTATATTTTCATTAATTTTGCAAGACCACATTTTGCTAAAGTTTATTTTTGTTGTTGCAAATTTAGCAGTAAAACTATCTATAGCTCAAGATGATAGTAGTATGACAATTTTCTTAACTAACTACCATTGCTATTAATATCTGTTATCTATTAGGCTTCTTTCTTAGTTATTCAATGAGCTATTTAATAATAGCATTTATCTGGAAGACTGAAAATATGCGAAATTGGCTGATTAAAAGGAATACACAATGTTGACATGCTTTACAACACCATTACGAATAACTGATTGATATTTACACAAAGTCTAGCGATACAATATAGACGAGGTACAGAACAGTAGAAATTAAAATTTTGCAATGCTGAACACTAAATCAAACATATATATAAACTACATAGACATTAGTTCATTATCTAATTTAGGTGAGGATAACAGGAACTTTGGTTATTCTTGGATTGGGTGTAGGAAAAAATTCATAAGGCCATGTCTATTCTTCATCACCCATTTCACAATGGATTATATCCTTCAATATGCAAAATGGAGTACTTCCTTTATGAGGTTAGTCTGCAGAAATATAGTTCAGTATTCAGTAAAAAAATAGGTATAGGATTGTAAGAACAGTTCCATAAAAGAGAAACTGAATTGGTCAATGATAACTCTGAATTGGTCAGAGTTTGCCAAACTGAGTACCTTCTCTCAAAGGCTGGGTCTGCACAAGGCAATCACTAATTAACAAAATAAAAAATAGAAGCTCTCTAATAGGATTATCTAATGTTGTCACATTAAATCACATGTAAACAGCATCTATAAATATAAAGTGCAGGTAAATCTACCATAGGAAGGCATGATGATGGATCGATGCAAATAGTGTTTGGATTGGCAGCAATATTGTATATGCCATTTCAGCCATATCCTTCATTGGAAAAAAATGATATAGATATGGTCCAACAGCAGTACCATGCATCAATATCCATGCTTGCCCTTTTGCTAATGAAATGAAGAGAAAAAAGATGAAGAACTGAAGAGAGAATCCATTATCCAGAACTGTAGAAGCTATCTCAAAATCACTCTAGCCCATATATATATTATATATATAGCTATCTCAGGTGCATCCATATCCAGCCTCTAAATTATGAAAAGTTTAGCTGAGAGAGAGAGAGGGAGGGAGGGCCGGAGGGAGGGAGAGAGAGAGCAGCAAAGCAAGCAAGATGGGACATGATTAAAAAAAGGAAATATCTTCCTTTTACTAAATAATAAATAGCCTCAGATAACCGAAGAACAAAACCACCAAAAAATGACAACCTATGTTAAAACATGAAAAGGAATGCATGATTGACAATTACAGCATATACAACAGGAAAATGTTACTACCTGAACTGCTGTTCATCGAAGATCACCTAGCCAATAGAGATAAGTGGGATGGCACAAAATCAAAATTGAAAAAGTTTAGCACCAAATTAATTAGCTGAACAACAGGTGTGTAGTACAAAAATATATTTGGCAGAGATAAGGAAACAGGAGAAGTGAGACCATGAAGCAATGGACTGGGCAGGTAACTGGTAGCTAGATCTAGATCGCTAGCGTACCAAAAGGATGGGTTGTACATAAGTAAAAAATAAATGGACACAAAGTAGGAAAACAGAGCACACCATTATCTGCTGTAAATATCAGAACTAACTGTGCGCTATGCAAGTAGGATTTAATGGGGAAAATAGATGCTAGGTTATGTCAGCCATGTATGTGAATGTCCAAATTTCAACTGACAAATCCTTGTTACGTGAGCTTTAGATTAAGCATGTAGCGTGGAGCCTGCGAATGCCCAAACTTCTGCTGACAAATCCTTAATATGTGGGCTCTGTAGATTAAGCCAGTAGCATGGAGACACAGGACATGGAGATTTGAATGAAGCATGCAGATATGAAGCATCATCAAAGTTAAAGTTCAGACACAAGGGAGTTGATTTCTGCGAGATGGACAATATATCATCATAAACAGGTCCCCCAGTTCTCAGCGTGTCCTAAAATATCAAATTCATGGCCTGAATTTCAGTAAACACGTTGAGGGCGTGTGAGGAAGGATGGCAAAACTTTACTGTATCTGCCCACCTGATTTAGCAGTCTGCAGATTTCACATGGAGATACATGGGTTAAAGTAGCATTCATGTAACTGTAAAGAATACAAAACCACATCAAATGGTAGTTACGCTCACCAGCATCGTCTGAGGTCGCTTCTCTTGGATTGGCTAGCTCTAGTCCTCCCGGTGTTGACTTTGCCTCGCCGCGGGTGTGCCGCGCTGAAGCAGGGGGATGCAACGACGCCGAGGCAGGGTGCCGCCATGGCCGAGGTCGGCAGGCTGCAGAGGACGGCCATGGGGTTAAACCAGAGTGTCTAGCGCCGGCACACAGAAGGCGAGGCGAGGAGCTGAGGAGCCCGGAGGAAGGACGGGTGCGGGTGGAGACGGATCTTGCGGTGGCAGGTGGCGCAGACCTGGAGCGGAGGACGCGAGGCGAAGGCGGGGCTCCATCAGCACGTGTGGCTACGCCGCTGCCCGGGAGAGGTTGCGGCCTCGCGGGGAAGAAGCTGGACGCGAGAGCCGAAGGTGAGCGGGCGGAACCAGGTGCGGCCCGCGAAGGTTCCTGATTGCCGGGACGATGAGATGAGTGGCCGGGTTTGCGGGTTGATGGGCGACAGGCCCGATCGAACCCACATCGGACGGTCAGACTTGCAAGCGAGTCGGATCGAACGGCTAGCGGGTTAGCGGGTGACGTGGCCCGATCCGCTGCCGTCTTTTGGTGCACGAATCCTTTTTAGAGATAACGTTGACACTGCAGTGTGTGTTCTTGTTACTCACGAATCGTGAGGTTTAGACGGGTCGCCATGACCATGATACGGTCGGCCGGCAGAAATGTTTAGTGCGCCTGAGGCCTGCGCGCATGCGATTAGGAGCGGTTGCCCTGTTCACTTTGCTTATAAGTCGTATTTTTTTTCAGCCAACGAATAATATTTTTCTCTTATAACAAATCAATCAATAGTATTTTCAGCCAAGCGAACAGAGCAAAGCTGCAGCAGAGATTATTTGTTTGATTTGCATTGTTCAAGACCTATAGCTAGTGCCTACAACGGAGAAAACTACTTATTAATGTCACGCATGTATAGAGAAATGGTGAGAACTCGCGGAAGGACTCAGCTCTGATTTGAAGTATGTACTTGCATTGCATCCCTGATGAACCCACAGCTGCAAGCTTGCAACTGCGCAACTTCAGCATGACAGGTGTAAGACTCTTGGTGATGATGTGCTGAACTGAACTCTTCCCAGCTACTTCATGCTACTAATCCAAAGATTCTTCACCGTTAAGTGGTCATGACTCACGTCAAAGTCATTAATTTATTATTAAAGAAGCTTCTAATTTGGCAAAGCAGTGACAAATTCGATCTATAGAAACAAAACAAGGCCCAGGGGTTTCTGAGTTGCAAAAGCGTGCCCAACAAAAAAAAAGTCACTTACCATTGAACTACGCAAGATTTTAGCCCAAAGTAATAATACATATGTGTGCATAGCTAGTGGCCCAAAGATTGCCATAAGCCCAAGTACAATTCATCCTGCGTGGTGATTTTAGCCCAATATGCTATACACGAACTGAAAATATGTAACAAGGCTATAGCCCTGCTACTGGAAACTGCAGTGTATTTGACAGCCAGTGGTGGCTTTGTGTCAACCACCAGTGCTAAACATTTTCCAACCCAAAAAGGAAATTTACAGAAATTATATAAACTACATTAAAGGTAACTAGAAAACAGCGCAGCTTTGCCGCGTCTTATATAGAATTTGGGCCAGTGTTTGGCCACCTTCTGATGGAACGTGCAAGCGTATTGTGCACTGGTTATTTAGGTTGAACCTTCTGATGTATATGCAATTCTCAATGCGTGTTAAGAGTTGTCAATGCAAAGCTTGAAACTTGGAACGTATTACGTATATGACTGTTAGATATAGATATATTTGTTAACATATTACATATAGATATATAAAATAGATCACTTTTTCATAGATATAGTTTTAATCTGTCATCCCCGATCATCCTGCCATAAATTGCACATTTCAAGTGATGTAGCTTCGTGGTCATCATGAGAATCTTCTGAAGAAATCAATACAGGCTGCCAGCCTTTCAAAGTTTCAGAATACACTTTGTACACTACTATGAAAACCACCGCGTACTACTTCCAAGTAACGACGGCTTTACGCAAATGGTACATTAACCTATTTAATAAGGACAGATAGCATAGAATATATATCAAGAATGTTATGGAAACCAATGGCCTGAAGAAAACCACTTTTAAGTTGTTTTAACCCTATATGGGACGTCTTCCAAGTAACGAGTTGTAACCCAACCTATTTAATAAGGAAAAGCTATCAGGAATGTTATGGAAACCAACGAGTAAAAATGTTGTAGTTGTAGGATTATTACTTCAAGAGTAAAAAAGCATTATTTTGAGAAAGCATTATTTTTCAGGTAATAATCATCCTTATGTGTTACATGTCTTAGTTTTCAGTATGTTAAAAGAAGCTCTGCGCTCAACGGGAAGCAAAGTACGGTCCTAGATATATTATAAAAATTCGATGATTAGTTAAATACTAAATGACTATTTTCTAAGAAAGCTTAGAATTGGAAATCACATATTAGCGAGGCATCCATGTCAGGATAAGATATTTTAAAAAGTGTATTCTACCTATATAATCAATACCTAGGATGGTGAATATCATGCATTCAATTGATCACAACAAAATTCAGCTAACTACAGTTCAAATTGTAGCTTTAATTTTGTTTGACATAAATGAATACAAGTATGTATTTCTAATTTCAGTTCTTACACAGATTTATAGATACATTTACAGCATGCTGGCAATCCCTGAATTCATAGGAATGGATCTAATTACGGGTAACCTATTTATTAAGTGTAATCTGAAACATGTTAGCTAGTGTGTGAGTAGGACTGCTATGTCAAGAGGAACTAATATATCTCAAAACCGTAAGTAATTGCTAGGAAATAAGCCATAATACCAAATGTGTTAAGCAAATCTATACAATCAGTTTCAGAATTTTAGGATGCATCATTATTTTTTTTTCTATGGATTTTATTTGTTGTATGAACAAGTACATACACACTGAGACTGAATTATCTAGCTTGTACTATTCACCTCTTTGAAGCACGGAGAGGCTTGGATGGCCGCTTCAGCACTGCTTTCTGGGTTCAGCAACGACACTGCCTGATGATCAGAGCAGGGGCGAGAAACTTCACAGGCGACCATGCAACGGCCGGCCGGCTCTGAGTATGGCCTGTCTCCGTGTGGATTTTGTAGGCTAGTAGCCCTTCAACGGAAAATCACGAGCAGCCACAGTTGTGGGCTTGTGGCAGAGATGCAGCTTGACGGCGGGGTGGAGGCAGAGGGATGACGCGGAGGCCGGTGCGTGTGGAGGGGCACGACGGCGCGGAGGCCATGGATCTGAGATGGTGCCCCAGCACTATCGGCGGAAGAGGCATGCGGCTCGCGCCGGCCGCGGCGGCGCGCGGCACAACTCGATAGAAGGGCATGATTAGAGCGGTGAAGACCAGGCGCAGTGCGCTTCGACGCCCGTGGGGCTGGATGCGTTCTCGTCTCCTCGCCGCTCGCCGTGCCCTTGCTGCCGCCCGCTCTCCGTCTGAGGGAGCACGACGGGCCAACGGCCCGAGAAACTTCGCGAGCGCCGGGCGGGCGTAGAAGCGGGCAGAGACCCGAACCGCTCCAGATCGGACGGTTCACGTTGCCTGCCTGCTTCATCCGACGGCTAACGGGTTTGCGGGCGACGTGACCCTATCCATTAGCCCGCTTTGGTGTAGGAATCGTACGTAGAGATGAGATACCCTTCTACGTAATTAGAAACGATGGCCCAAAATACGGGGTTGGGCTGTGCAGCCCGTCGTGTCGAAATCCTAGAAACGATCTAAAAGATTTCGGATCATGCTGTGCTTTGGGCCTTGCCACAAGCCATCTCAAATGGCTTGGCCCAGGTCATTGCGGCTCTACGTCAAGGCAAAGAAATGAATGTCACGGCCTAAGTTCTCACAATTTTGGTACCACATGCACTCAAGCATTGATGCAGAACATTGTGTCGATCGATCGTTTTTGGGCATTGGCGTGAGCAGATCGAGACACGGAAACCATTTATGAGAGCCAAAGATGTAAAAAGTGACTCAGGTGCTTCGGCTTCCTCAGATGATGATAAGATGATTTAAGAAGAAGCCGTGCCAAAAGGCTCTTAAGAAAAAAGTAAATTACAAACGTTGCATTAACTAACGGCAACAGACTTAGATGGATCTTGTCCACAGTCCACACCCGCCGGCTCACGCGCCGCCAATTGGAAAAAAAATCGGGTACGGGACTCCCATACCTGGCACCTCGCGGCTGCCCAGTTGAACCCGCGACACGTGGATCTTCGGTTGTGAGCCTAGCCAATTTTGCCGAACCTGCCACACGTCGTCATCTGAATGGGCAGCAGCACGGAGCCGCGTACGGGAGTCCCATACCTAATTTTTTTCCGCCAATTTCGACCAGAGCCAGCAGCACTGCCAATTTCAAAACAGGAATGCTATAGAGCACACGTGTGTTTCTCCTCCTTCTGGCACACAATTTTTTTTTTATGTGACTGCCTTGTGGGGTCATCTTGTCGGCGCTGCCCAACGTGTGTAGTGCCTTCGCTGTTTTGAATTGGGAATCGCACCGGTTCATTTTCCCCTGCTCCGCTCGCCTCGTCGCGCCGCGCTACTTTGCTCCGCTTTCGCCTCGTCCGTGGTGTCGCCCCCTGCTCCGCTTCGCCTTTATTCGCCATCGTCGCTTCGCTTGCCGCTTCGCCTAAATGCGCTTGCTGTCTTCCTTGCTCCGCTTCGCCTTGTCGCTCTTTGTCATCCTCGCTCCGGTGGCCTCGTCGCATTCGCGCCTCTCCCTCCCTGCCAGATTTGTTTGTTGTCGCGCGCCTCTGCGTTCTTTGTTCTCGTCAATTCTGTGGTTACCGTCGCCCGTCGCTGTTTGTCCGCCTCATATAGTGAGGTGAGTCTTCTTCTCTCCCTCCGTCGTTCTCTGTTGCATCTGTCATCCCCAAATCTCTCCTTCCTTAGCCCCCACTAGGCAATGTGATTGTTGCTTGACCACAGATCCGTGTGTTCCCCCTTTTTTCAGTAATTTTTTCTTTTCGTTTTTGATGTTACCCATTTGCGATTCGAAGGGTCTAGACTATTGGATTAGATTGCTGCACGGTGGTAACCCCGGGCTTGTCGGATTTGTACCCTTTGAAGAAGGAAGCCCCAATGCCTGTGCTAGATCTAGCTTGCCATTCAGTGTTGCAGGCCCTGAAAAATCTTTTTGATCGGTCTGTGTCAAAGGAATGGATACAAATATTCATAGCATCTTTGTCATTTAGAGTATTTGTGATATTTTGATTTGCTTTGTTCGTTTGATTGGTGAAAGTGATTTGACATTAACTGCGCTTCTGATCTAACCCGTGAAGCAGTGGAAAAAATAATGGTTGAATTTCTTAATATGAGCTGTCCAAGAAAATAGCTACCTGCCCCTTCATTTTAGTTGTTTTATATGCATCAGAATCACCATC